ATTATTATTATTATTATGTTACAATCCCACTTTTTAGAACTATCAAAAGGGAGAGACCCTCTAATATTAGGCTAAAATCAAATTTTAGCTCTTCATCTTATAAAATTGATAGGTTTTAGCTCTTAACTTTATAATATGACACGTTTAACTCTTTACCTTACTAAATTGGTAGGTTTTAACCCCTCACCTTACTAAATTAGTAGGTTTTAGCCCTTCACCTTATATTATGATGCTCTTAACCACTTATTTGTACGAATTAAAGAAAATAGTTCTCACTTAACATCAGGAGATAACATTCTGTTAGTTTTGTTAGTTGACTATCAGTTTTGTTACCTAACTGTTAGTTATGTTAGTTAATTGTTAGCATCCATTAGCATTCCGTTAATGGAACTAACAAATAAAATTGAATTTAAATTTCATGTTTTTTATAACGAAATGCTAACGAATATTAACAGTCAATTAACGAAACCAATAGAATGTTATAACCTAATATTAGGTGGGAGTTATTTTTTTCAATTCGTATATGTGAAGGACTAAAAATGTCATAATATAAGGTGAGGGGTTAAAACTTATCAACTTGGTAAAGTGAAAGGTTAAAACTTATCAAATTTATAAGGTAAATGGTTAAAAGTGTTATATTATAAGATGAATGAATAAAACCTACTAATTTTATAAGGTAAAAGATTAAATGTTAGTTTTTACCCTAATATTAGGTCCTCCTCCCTCATTTTTAATGACCTTGATGTTATAATCCATCAGGGGAAGAATTGTAATACAAGATGATGATGATGATGATGATAGCCACACATTTTCCTCGTAAAAAGACAAAGCAGCTCATTTATAGGCCCACATAATAGTAGCAATGGTAGCTCATTTTCTTCATAAAAAGACAGGGCAGTTCATTTATAGGCCCACATAATAGTAGCAGTAGTAGCTCATTTTCCTCATTAAAAGACAGAGCAGCTCATTTTTAATTTTTTATTTCTGGTCAAAATTGCAACTTTCGTAATAAAAATTATAACGTGTTTTACCCGGTCACATTGGTAATGGTCACACCCACAAACCAGATTGTTAAGGTCACGTATTATATTTTTTATTTTGTTAAATTATATTTTTATTTATTCGTAACCTAATTTATAGAACAGATGAAAATGACACTATTTGTCACCCATAAAATCAAGATTTAAGGGTTCTTAATTCCTTTTCTTTTTTCACTATCTTTCAAAAAATTATAGTTGTTGAAAAAAATAAAATTTATTGACTCTAACTTCATATAATTTTATATAATATTTATTAAATATATAAATAAAATTATAATTTTTACATTACATTAATAATTTATTATTATATGACCATAACCGGAGTGATTATTATCATGATCGATAGGGGTACATCGGATTAGGAGCTTATTTAATAAATGTATTTATTTATTTAATAAAATATAAAAATTATATAAAAATAATAAAAAAATATTATTTTTATAAACTACTCATTAATTAATTAATGAAAAAATGCACAGTCTTCGAAAAGAAGTTTCAAAAAAAAAAAACCACCTCCTGTGAGCGTGGCTGTTGACCCTATCTAAAAATCTAAGCCGCTCCGGTCTCCGATGACCTCTTCCCACCCTCGTTATCCTTGTAAATACGCCAACACTTATGCCAACCTATTTAATAATCTATTATTATAATTTTCAAAAAAAAAATCTATTATTATATGCCAACACTTCCCCTTTCATTGGCCACGTAAGTTTGTTTTTTTTTTTTATAAAGATAATAATTAATATGCTAATATTATTAAATGTTAACAACTTAAAATTTGATCTCAGATTAGGTGAACAATTCACATATCTCAATGAAACATGCAACCATTGAACTGTTTAGTAAAATTCATGTAAATTTGTTTTAGGATTTGAGTTCAACCTCTTACAGACCAGAATAACGTGGTCCAATAAAAGTGAAAGTGTTGGCCGAAGAGTGCAGAAGGCGAGTGCCCCTAACACTCCTCGTTTCCGAATATAGTGATTTCATACGGCAAGGTTCTTGAGGTCATAATGTTATTTTCATCGGATGTAATTGGTGGTAGAAGTCTTTTTGATTTA